AGTCCCTCCCCGCCACCGACGCCCCTGCCGCGGACCGGTTCGTTTCCCCAGCACGGGGGGCGTGTGTCGTGTGTTTTGTGTGTGTCGTGTGTGTCACTGCGCTCACACCGAGAACATTGGAACATTTGTTCGGGTGCCCAACTTGCAGAAGTCGGCGTGTGCTGCTGGGAGTCCCGGCGATCGACGCCATCATACAAGCCCTGGCCGAGCGTGGGATCAGAGGTACGTCCCTCCTCTTCGCTCTTCATAGCTCGACCGAGCACACACGCGCGCGGTGTATTGATGATACAATGCCGGGCCAGACGTTCATGTGGAGAACAAGCCGCAGAAGCGAGCGATGGTGCTCACCGTCGACTCACTGTCGGCGTCGGTGCTGCTGAGTCCCACCAAGACCAAGATCACCACCACCGACGAGCAGGCGCGCCAACTGCTCCTCGACATCATCACCTCGCGCACCCTTTCGCTTTTCGTGAGCGTCCAGCTGCATGCTTGGTTCACACAAGACTACATACATTCTTTTTTTTTTTTTTTTAATTTGTCTTGTGTGGCTTTCCCTGCCACAACGAGCACTAGTCATCTTCTTCAGAGAAGGCGTCTTCCCCTTCTCGTGCGTTGTCTGGCGTGGGCACTGATGCGGAGCGCTTCCGTCGGTGCTCTCTCAGATCTGCCCCGTACGACGAGTACACATGCCGCGGTGAGTCGCTACGCTACGTGACAGCCACACGTATGCACGCACTGTAAAGGCAACATGACATCTGCTTACCCGAGATGCGTCTGTTGATGAAGGTGGCGATGTTCGAGTGTCCCTTCTTCTCGCGCTCGCGCTCACGTTCTTCGTCGTTGTCGCCGCCGCCCACGCCTCCCCCGGCCTCGTCTTCTGTCGCGGCTCCCGTCTTGGCGGCCGATGGCCCCGGGGCCGACGAGCCCGACTCGGGCAGCCTGTCCGCCGCCTTGTCCACCTTGTCGGAGGAGTGGAACGCAAAGGAGGGCAGGTGCGAGGAGATGGTCGAGAACGACGACGTCGAGAACGTGTGGAAGATCTTCCTCCGCGCGGCCGGCGAAAGGGTCTCCGCCTTCTTGCCCGCCTCCTCCTTCTCCCGCTCCTTCTCCGCCCTCCGCCTCTCCCGCTCCTTCTCCTTCTCCTTGCCGCCGCTGCCGTGGTCCCTCGCGCCCAGGTTGCTGTCGCTGCTTCTGTTCCATTTGTGCGCACTTGGCCCGCCGGTGTGGTGGTGGTGGTCCTTGTGGTCCTTCTTGTCGCGCCGTAGGAAGCTGTTGATGACCTCCACCAGGCCCCGCTCGTCAGC